TCCTCATCGGGTACAAGTGATGTTGCAAATTCTGCTAGTGTGACAAATTGACTGTGATACTCTTGCACCGTCATTTCCCCCTGCTTCAAGTGTAGGAACTTGTCACGATTTTCTGCTTGTACATGTGGCGGGTAAAATCTTTTTCGCAGTGCACGCTTGAACTGATCCCAAGTGAAGTCCGGTTGTGCGCTCATCCTTGGTCCCACATGAACCCACCATTTATCTGCTTCTTCATGCAGATAATAAACAGCAATGTTAATTCGTTGATCTGCCGGGCAATTGATCGCGGCAAACAACTTGTCGAAGGTGCGCATCCAATTCTCGAGAAGGACGGGATCCTCTTGACCAAGGAAGTTCGGCGGGTTTCGTGCCGCTACACGGCTTTCCATGTTATTGTCGTTGTTGGGTTGGTTCTGAAGGAACGCCGCATTGACTGTCTGGGCGAGCTGCGTGAGGGCTTGCGCCAGCTCAGCATTGGTAGGGACGACATTCGGATCTCTCCTTGGTGGCATGGTGTCTCTATATTGGTAATAACTTGAATTAAAAAAAAACTCTTCCTACTTTCCCTAAGGATCCTAGAACTAAGGATTCCATAGGCTATCAAATTATTTCATCACAGATAGGATTCACATTTCATATCACAACATTTTTGCACATAATTTACATACCTTGGCCACTTTGGAATTTTGCCTTATGAGGCATTCCCTCTAACGCTTGGGGTTCCCATTTCACATATGGGCCCACAATTCTCAACTTTTCACATACTATATATAACATAAAAGTAATACTCACAAGTTCCTCACCACATTCCTAAAGGCCATTTTCTAGCTATCTTATTTTTCTTAATCAAAATATTTTGAAAATCCTCATTTGAGGGTACGATTCCTCAAATGAATTCGCTGGTCTGTTTAAATCTGGTATGATCTGGTCTGAAACTGAAAACTGTAATTAAAAAAAACCTTGATCAATTGGATTTATTGGAATTGACGTAATTGTGGCTCAAATAGTTTAAAATGCTGAATAATTAAAAATAAAATATATTTTATTTATCAAAGCAAGAAAAGATTATACGAAAATAGCTTAAATTGTTATGTGTAATTATTCAATTCAAATAGTAATTCCAACCTTATTTATTTTAATTATTACAAAATTTTGCACGAGAAAACCAAAGTTATGTGTTTGATAAAATGATAAGGCTGATAATGTAACACCCCAAATTTTCCCACACAAATAGCTTGGAAATTTTATAATAAAATGATAACTTTATTAAGACAATTTCAGCGGAAGTCTTTAACAATGAAAATTTAGAGTGTTACCGCCACACTTAGCAAAACATGGCTAAGTGCACAGGCAAATAAAACCAATGTACTTAATCACACGTGCGACGTAAAAATAACAAAAGTGATCCAGAGTGATATTCTTAAATTTAAATAAAAGTCTTGCTTGAGTATCTTCTAATGGACGCTCTCAGGTCTCTAACCAAGCACATCATCCAAAGCAATATCATCTGTAATTATAGAGAAAGAGAAGAAACAAATAACACAAAAATTAGCTTTAGAGCTAAGTAAGTCCCACCCAACCCCGTAAAATAATAGGTTTGGTGAAAATAATAATTTGTATACCATATATACAAAAAGGTAGTTTAAAAGATAAAGTTCATGGTATACCTCTTTCAAAAATGGATGATCCTCACTTTCATTAAATAAAATATTTTCTTTTAGTAATGTTTTAAAATATAGTTGTATCAACCTCCTAATACATTTGAAGGGCGGTGCTCAACATTAAATTGAGCCCGATGGTCCGTTGTTATGTACGGCCACCCCGGGACTTTTGCCGGTACCACTTCTAACCTGAGGAAACTGAACCTCTACCTTAAGTGTGCACACCCTCAAAAAAGGGATTCCAAGCCCTCCGAGTAGTAAAAAGTCCAAGTAGTTCGGACGTCAACGTCCCCCTACTCCACCAAAAAGGGATTACCCTATATAAGTGACTAGGTTACTGCTACTACTGAATAACAGGGTCTTTTGCCCAAATTTGAATTTCAATAAAACAACCACTTTAACCAACCTCCACAGTCAAGGTCGTGGACACCAAATCCCAACAAGTAATAGCAGTCCTAATCACTCTCCACAGTCAAGGTCGTGGAGAACACCGACATCCCGGATTTCTCCCGTGATGCCCTTACATTGAAAGGTTCATTTTATCTTTATTATTTTCCAAAAATTCAGGGATTACTACACACGTAATTTCCCCAAAGTTATTCAACATTCAACAATGCATCACATATACATAAATTGCTCAACAAATAGTCAAATAGTACAAATTTCATATTTCATACATACAATATATACGAGGTAAAAAATGCATTTTGGTTGCAATGTGACTTACCTTGGAGTGTGATGCTCCTAGTTCTCTTCGTCTATTCCGGTCTCTAAATAATCACCTTATTGATTAAAATGGTATAATTAGTTACTTATTCTATTAGTAATAACTTATCGGATTCCTTCCTTAAATATTTTTATTCGAATTTATTAATATTTAATTATTTATTTGAAGTATATATATTCTTTAATTAATTAGTTACTTCTATTAATCTTATCACCTGTTCTTTTTATCCACCTTATTATTGATTACCGTATCTAACTCATTCTCTTTTATTAATTAATACATCATTCGAATAAAATTTTGTTATTTAGCTCTGAGTTATATTTCAATATTTATTAAAATATTCAGAGATTGAAGTTACCTTAATTTATATTAAATCGCCATTAGGCATAGTTATTAATGCAGTCCAATTCTTATAAAATGTCCGAGTAATATACTTATTATTCAAATATCCGAAATTATATTTATGTGCTAAATATTCTAATCACTTTAATAATATTTTATTCTAGTATATCCAATTATAAAAATATTCCGTACTTAGTTTAGTAACCTATGATCAACTTTTAATCCAACAGTTCTGAATAATGATAAATCTAACTAATGTTTTAATTCGTGTATTATTTTAACTACTTAAATCCACTAATCTTATTATTGTACATTCTGAATTTATCCTATTTAAAGAGTAACCGATCTATTCAAATAATCATCAACAATCTAGTCCAATTTTATACATGAAGGTTTTCATACCAGACTTTATTACCAGGTGATTTATCATTCCTTAATTATATTATCATTAATTACAAAACTGTCAGTCTGTTTTTATTATTAGTTCGGTACTTAAAATAATCGGCCGGCCTAACTATTAGCAAACGTATATAGCCCGGCCATTTGTGCTATTCCAGTTCAGTCCACTAGATGATTCAACCGTCCAGTTGTTTATACGATTTTGCTAATTGGTATAAATGAATATAATCAGCCCAGATTTAACCAAAGTTATTGATACCTACAGCTTACTATTTAATTTTGTAATTAAGCATTCCACCCAGTTGTTTTATAAGTTTCACTTAAGTACTTGTTCGTATGAACTTCGTACGTATATACTACTCCCTAGCTTGTGTTCATTGTCTTCTTCGCATAGTCATCGGAAAAAACACAAGGGGTAGCCGGCTTAATTACCTTATTGATGGCGGAAGAGTTGGCGCGATGACAGCAGAGGACGTCTTCGGTCGGCCCAGTGCCAGAGCGGTGGTGCGTCGGCAACAGTAGCTACCACTCCGATCGTGAAAACCAGTCCGACGGCCACTCCGGCGAGCGACTTCTCCCTCTTCCGTCGATCGTTTCTCCTTCCGTCACTCTACTTATCTTTCCTCTTACTCGTACAGGGTTAAGATAGTTTTTAGCTTCGGTGTTTGGGTTTATCACAAGGTTTGGAAATCTTGTGTGTGTAGTGTCTCGAAGTATATATGTATGTATACGCAGGTATGCGCTAGCTCTTGTGTATTTTGTAGAGGGTGAACACAGGTGTATATATATAGGTAAGGAGGAAGGCTCTCATCCATCCGTTAGGTATAATATCAAGATGAATCCGACCCAAGCATGTGTGTGCAGCTTGTATCTTTTGTTCTTATCGGAAGTTTACTGATGCAGAACATGGGCTGTGGGTATCCAATCATATTGGAACCCATGTGGTTGTGTAGTTCTTATTATGTATAGTATGTATTACTCCGTAGCTTATTTTACCTATATGCGAATGAATATATTGTCTGTGGCATGGTGTAATCCCTATGTATGTATGTATGGGTGTGAGTTTATATATTACGGGTATTATTGTTTGAGCTTGAAGCTTAACCTTTGCATGTTATTTAACTAGTGTAATTTTGTGCACATTATAAATCAGCACTTGCATTAAAATATCACCTTTTATTATTTATGTATAATTATTATTGTCACCAAAGACGTCACATTATATTTAAGTCAAAGTTTTATTTGGTCAATTTCATTATTATAAGAATGTTTCTTTTGAAACATTTTATCGGATAAACATTTATTTTATTTTTCGAAGTGTCACAGATAATTTGGAAAAATGGATTACCAAATAGGGTGTAATTAGATATTCAATTTTATAGGAATATTTTAATTATTTAAGTATTAGTCTCTCAATCCCAAATTGAGTAGCAAAATTGACTTTTTTTTAGGTAATTCACTTAATTGTGATAGCAATTCTTTATTAAATTTGAATTTGGATTTTGCAAATTTATAGAGATTTTAATGTAATTTCTCAAAATGTAAATTTAATTATTAAAATTGAATTACATATCAATAAAAAGGATTTGACTTGAACTATAGTCGGGAAAAAATGTCGGTTTTGCAAAACAATTTGAGACAAAGGCGGTATACGTTATTTGGGATATTAATTTTGCAATCACTTTGAATAGGTGATATGTAACATGGCAGAAGGTTGTGAATCTCTACAATCTTATAAGGGTGAATGAGAGTAAGGTCATTTTAGGTATAAAAAAATGTGTTGGTGGTATTATTGTGCTTTAACCGGTTGTACTTTACGGTCAGCCTATGATGTGTTCTTCTATTAAACGTCTACCTCCATCTTATACCCACGGTGCCGTTAGCGACATCCGTTGCTTGTATAGATATCTTTGCGTAGTGAACGAGTTATATCTGTAGCAGGAGGTCTTCGCGTCGGAACGAGGGCTGAAACTGAAGGATTTGAATGGAAAACGAGGAATGATTCACGCCCAAATCTGGTAAGTCTGGTTCCCGTCTCTGCTTGTCTCCTCTCCTCCACCTTTTTCTTAGTCTGGACTGGCCGGGGTAACTCCGGCGACCTTGATAGGGTGAGGGACAGGGTCCTGGCTGGAGATCCTATTGGGGGTGACTTCATTTGACATGCCATGGTGAACACCTAGATCTAGGCTATGGTTTCTGGAGCTGGTCAGAGTAGGAATCGACTATTATTTGGAGCCTATTTGGTGCTTTAACAATACAACCAAGGATTGAGTAACATGACAATCTCTTAGCCTGATATTTCATCTGCCTGAATCGTAAGGTGTTTTGGAACTACCAAAGTATCTTTTCAAAATAAGGGTTGAGTTCTTCTTTGTGTGTCTGATCGAGTGCTGGATGTAAGGGTTCTGAATAAGGGTTGAGTTCTTCTTTGTCCATTCTGGTTTAGTTCTGAATATTTAACACATTGATATATTTTGTTTATATGAACATGTGCAGGGAAAGATATCCAGATATATGTGGCTGCTCTAGAAAGTCCATATGCATATGGCAAACATTTCAGGTTGTGATTTCTTTCTTTTAAAGGTTAGCTATATTTATCTCCCCTGAGATCCTGTCTAATTTGTCATAAATTAAACCCCGTAACTCCACAATGTGATATATCATTATACCATTAACATGAACTTAAATGCTCTAGACTGGATTCTGTATTTTTATTGAAACTTATCTGTTGAAATGTTTTAAGGAAAGTATTTCGGGCAACGGCTATGAGTTATTTTGTCCCAAATACTCAATTCCTGATTTCCTACTAATGACATAATAATATCACATAATAAAACTTCCATCATGTGTTGTTGTCACTTATGAAAAAAATCGACTTGTTATGTGTGGCAAGTCAACAGTGTGATTCCATTCAAGGGGTGTTTGGAACCGCTTTTAGAAACTGATTCTGCTCTCCCAAAGAGCACTTTGAAGCAGAATCAGTTTTCAGGGTGTTTGGATCTGATTTTAAAAGTGATTTTAAATGGCTGAAAAATCATATTTGTAGAATCTGGGTAGGAGCAGCTTCTCCAAAACAGCTTCTGATTCTTCTAATTTTATTCCTAAAATACCCCAAGCAATATACGATACTCACAGCATCGTGGAACTAGGGCTTTCTCTTCTGCGCATTTTAGGACCGGCCAGAGCTCTTCCCACCTGCGCTGCAGCTCTTCTTCTCCGCCGATTTCTAGCCTGCGGCTCTTCTTTATCCACAGCCCAGGTAAAGCAGTGAGCTCTTCTCTTCTCCTCTATTCTAGAGTTGTGGCTTTTTTTATTTTCTTTTATGTATATGAATTAATACCTTTATTCCATCAGTGTGCCTTTATTGTTTCATTTTTATGCAATTTTTTTTGGGTTATTCATATGCTTGTAGTTTTCACCATTAACTGTTCAGATATGCTTGAGATTATTTTTTTGAATTTGCTCAACATTATAAAGTTAAATTTGTGTAATTCTTGCCTGGAATCTGTTCACGAGTAATAAGGGTTTGAATTTTTCATCAGTTTCTTAGGTTATGGAATATGAATAAGATCTCACTTTTACTTGATCATGCAAGAAAAACCTAACTTTTTTGCACTGCCTTTTACTCTCTTGAGGTTGGTGCTGGGGTTTAATTTTTCTCTTTAGAAAATCCCTAAATACACTGATACACACATTAATAAGGGTCTGAAATTTTCATCAGTTTCTTCTCTTTAAATAAACTGAACTCTTTAACATCTCTTTAACTGAGTTCCAATCTTGTTCTCCACTTTATGATTACTTTTAATAATTTCAAATTGCTTACAAGATTTAATCGGGTTTGGAATATAATTGTGAATCAAGTTTGCTAATAATATGTTAAATTCAGGTATGGCATCTCACAAAGTTAGTACTTTTGATGATGAAGGGAAACAAAAAAACGATTCCAAAAAATTTCATTGGGACCATGCAACCCATATGACCTTCCTTGATGTATGTCTTGTTGAAGTGTGAAATGGTAATAGGCCCGGTAGCCATTTTAATAGGTTGGGCTGGAAAAACTTGATTGATAACATGAAAAAACATACAAATATAACATTTAACAAAATGCAACTTAAGAATCATTGGGATAAGATGAAGAAAGAATGGAAAGCTTATGATAAGCGAATGAGGAAAGAATCTGGCCTTGGATGGGATCCGATTACAAAGAGCATTGATGCTACACTAGATTGGTGGGCAGCAGTAATACAGGTAATTATTAATTTAAATGAGCAAGTCTTTTATTTATTATTTTCTAAAGTGCAGCTTATGTAAAGTACAGTATTTAATAATTGTAGCTATATGAAGTTCCAGTTTTTTAAGCCTGTTTTTAAGTGCAGTCTATACAACTTCCAGTTTTTAGAAACTGTTTTCAAATTCTGGTTTCAATTTATGTTTTTAAACTGCAGTTTTTAGGAACATCCAGTTTTTAAAAGCAGTTTTCAAATTCTGTTTTTAAAGTGCAATTTTTACAGAGTTCCAGTTTTTAAAAACTGTTTTCAAATTCTGTTTTTCAGTGCAGTTTTTACAGAGTTCCAGTTTATAAAAACTGTTTTCAATTTATGTTTTTAAACTGCAGTTTTTAGGAACATCCAGCTTTTAAAAGCAGTTTTCAAATTCTGTTTTTAAAGTGCAGTTTTTACAGAGTTCCAGTTTTTAAAAACTGTTTTCAAATACTGTTTTTAAGTGCTGTTTTTACAGAGTTCCAGTTTATACAAACTGTTTTCAAATTACTCCGTCGTATGTTTTTAAACTGCAGTTTTTAGGAACATCCAGTTTTTAAAAGCAGTTTTTAAATTCTGTTTTAAAGTGCAGTTTTTTAGGAGTTCCAGTTTTTAAAAACTGTTTTCCAAGTGCAGTTTATAAAAACTGTAAACTGGAAGATCCTGGATGTGCAGGTTAAAGTGTAGTTCTTAAAGTGCAGTTTTACTTATGCTTGGATACTGTTTTTAAAGTGTTGTTTTTATCAACAGGAGGATCCTGAATGTGCATAATTAAGTAATTTGCCATTACTGATTTCTAAACTTATACGTAGTATTTAGTTACAATATACTTGGTTAGATATGACGGTAAGGAAGATCCAATCTGCTACAAAGTCTACAAGTTTGCCATGGACAATAGCTTAAGGTGAAGACACCCTCACTCCAATCAGTTCATTTCTTCCACCGTCAATGGTGCCAGATCCCCAAGATTTGGAGTTATGGTTGAAGGTTGATGGGGAGATTTGTCAAGAAGGCTCTACTCGTGGTATGATATTCAAGATTCCATACTTGATTAGCCACATAAGCTCTATCATGACACTGCTTGAGGGTGACATTATTTTAAAAGGCACTCCTGAGTCCTGAGGGTGTTGGTCCGGTTGTGGTGGGACAAAAGATGGAAGTCGGGATAAGAGGTCTCATGGATGGTCACGGTTCACTTTGATGTGGAAAAACGCTAGCAGGCAATTTCGTAACATTTATTAGTGTCTTCACAAGTATGTAACTGACCAACAATCTAATAATCTATAGTGAAATTTCAAACACCTCCATGGTTATATTCGTACCAAAAGTTTGAACAAAATAAAAAAATGTATGAGGTTCCCCCTTCAATAATACATTGTGTTCTAGAGGTTCCCTTGTATATACTAAAATCAGTTTATTAATGATTAGCAGTTTATTGACTGCTATATATGTTGACACGTCAAATACTAAAAATAATCAAATCAACTCAACATACAACATACATATTTTTAACAAAAATAATGCATTGGGCACTAATTCAATCGCGCAACGCGCGTTGTTAAAACTAGTGGATGTATAAACGTCAAAGTCGTCGGGTGTCCGGTAATATAAATCACGAATTTGTTGAATGTTTAAAAGGTTTTTTAGATTATGCTTTTACCATATGTGAGAGCATAGGAGAAAATATGGTGAAATGTCCGTGTACAAAATGTAAGCTAAGAAAGTATTATGATAGAGATACTATTGAAACACATTTGTGTAAAAATGGATTCAAAGAAAATTATTACATATGGGATTGCCATGGTGAAGAAAGGCCAATAAATCCGGCTATATATAGAGGGTCATCAAGTGATATGGAGTCTTATGAGAATGTATCTCTTGATAGTAGTTATAGAGAACAAAATCACTTGTTTGGTTGTGATGATGAAGAAAGTGATTATAACGAGCTTGAAGGTAATGAAATGGTGTATGAAAACCCAAACGATAACGCACAAGAGTTCTATAACTTATTACAAGATACATCTGCTCCTTTGTATGATGGTTGCACTAAACATAGCTCTTAAGTGTTAAGAGTCAGTATAATATGTCTGACGCATGTTATGACAAAGTAGCTTCATTAACGGAACGGATAGTTCTGGGTGATAACAAATTGCCAAAAATATTATATCAGGCAAAGAAGATGGTGAATGGATTAGAACTTCGATATTACAAAATTGAAGCATGCGAGAATAATTGCATGCTATTCGATGGTGATGATATAGCTTTGGCGTATTGCAAAACTTGTGGTTCGTGTAGGTACTATGAAGATACGCTTGACCGGGGAGGAAAAAAGAAAGCGGTTACCAAGAAAACATTGCATTATTTGCCAATAACAGAGCGTTTGAAGAGGGTGTACATGTCCTCGAAAACATCTAAGTTTATGACTTGGCATAGAAAAGGTACTTCCAGTACTCATAGTACTATTTCACATCCTCATCATTTTGATGCATGGAAACACGTTGATAAGACGTTCCCTAATTTTGCTATTGAGTTTAGAAACGTGCGTTTGCAATTTGCCTTGTACTTATTGCTGTGTACAATTTGCCCTTGAGCTTTGCATGAAAGAACCATATACATTTATGGCTATGTTGATACCTGGTCCTAGATTCCCTGGAAGGAATATCGATGTATTTTTATGACCACTTATTGATGAGTTAAACATGTTGTGGAGTGTTGGAGTTGAAACGTGGGATGCTTTTCGTAAACAAAATTTCATACTGCGCGCATGCCTTCTTTGGACAATTAGCGACTTTCTTGCATATGGCATGTTGTCAGGTTGGAGCACACGCGGTCGATTAGCATGTCTTTATTGTTTGGGAGATGGAGTTGGTCATCAACTTAATTACGACAAGAAGCCTTTTAACTACGAAAAATCAAGATCTGGTGATATAACACAAGGCCTTCCAAAAGTAGAACAGGTCTTAGAAGTGTGTTCGGTTGATTCCATATCAAGGAATCTACAAAGGAGGTTTGTGGATTGGGACAAATTTATAATCGGAATTCTTGGAATTCATTGGGGATTTTTTATTAGTGTTGAGTTAACTATAGTGCAAAGCGTATCTCTTTGATTCATAAGATCCAAAAAGTTTAACGATCTTAGGGGGTCCAGATTCATAATAGGCATATTGAAATTATTGTACGTCAAATCACATCAAAAGTTTTAGTTTCAGAAGATGGAATTTCTAATGTTTTTTCGCCTGGAGAACTTATTGAATTTTTGGTGGTGATGTCACAGGAGGTTCTTAGGACATAATTATAACCATGTCTTTCGTCGTGATGCACATTCGTGGGGAGCTCTGGAACTGAGTACAGGAGACCTTGTCCAATAATTTCCGGTGTCGAAATTCAGAGGAGTATGGAGAACATCATATTTCCACCGTTTGGCTCTCTATATGATAACTTGTGTGTTGACGGTTTTGGCAGAACTCACAGTTGGATCAAAAGGTCCATTTTTTGGGAACTACCATATTGGAAACATTTGCTTGTTCGTACTCCTCTTCCCACTAGTACCGAGCTTTCGCTAACTGATGGTGATCTGTTAGCAGATCCCAAAAAGTATAGGAGTATGGTAAGAGCACTACAATATTTAACCATGACTCGACCTGATATTACTTATGTTGTGCACCTGGTTCCCAGTTTATGCATGCTCCCCGTACTACACTTTTTTTGGCTGTTAAGCGAATTTTCAGGTACTTACAAGGGATGTCTAACTTTGTGTTACTTCTTTAATCGAGTTCTACAGCACCCACTATACTGGCTTGGTCAGATGCTGATTGGGGAGGATGTCCAGACATCAACATGTCCATGTCTGGGTTTGCTATCTTTTTTGGTCCGAATTTGGTGTCCTGGAAGTTCAAGAAATAGACTACAATTTCTAGATCTTCTACACAGGCAGAATATCGTGCTATTGCCTACGCTGTTCAAGATACTCTTCACATCCATTCCATTTTGTTCGAGTTGGGCATCTCCATCGACAAACCTGTTCAGCTCTTATGTGATAATGTATTTGCTTCTTAGTAATCTGCAAATCCTATTCGCAGCGAACACATTAATATTGATTATCATTTTGTTCGTGAACGGGTAGCCCATGGTGATTTACAGGTTAAATTTGTTCCTACTCAGTTTCAGTTGGCAGATATCTTCACGAAGTGTCTATCTCCACAACGCTTTACATTTTTTTGAGACAACCTGCGCATTATTTCCCCTGCACAGCTTGAGGGGGTGTAATAATGTATTTATTAATATTAATTATGTTGTCTAATTATAGTATGAATCTTGATGTATCTTTGACTCTTTTATTATAAATAATACTTACGGGACTACCATTGAGGTACGCTTCCATATTATTCTCACAGTTTCCACTACATCTTTTCGTATATAGCCATTGCAGCAACATACGAAGTATAAATTAAACCATTAGATTGTTTATTTAAAATTCATAAGCATATGTACGTAAGTCCATAGATTTTCAGCAAATATGAGCGAGAAGGTTGAACCCCATACCCACAATAGAAAGATAAAAGAGTTTTCAAAAAGAAAATATGGGGACATTACACCGATTAAAGACGATAAAATACACCAACAGCATCGACGAACTGGCCAGCTCGTCCATGTAGCCCTACAATCTTTCCTCCCTTGTGCATTGCACTACTGAATGGTGCACCACTGCTCGAACCGTATGGTCCATAAGTAGTCAAGGTGGTTCGAAATGTGATGGATCTGATCACAACATAGTGGGTGTAAAATCCATACGTTCGACTTATTTGCGTCAACTTCTCCACTGTTCCATCAATGTTAATCTACATGATCATCCAACACATAACTTATTAGTCCATTTATTGCCATATTGGTTGACCAAAAACACAATTAAATCAAAAGAACTAAAGTTGGTTAACCTGGCTAGTTCTATAACCGCCACAACCTCCAATTTTTAAAGTCTTCAACGAACCATCCGATTTAAGGCTGGTGAAATGCAAAGAATCAATAACTTCACCATTTGCAACGGTGATCTGCTTCAATGTCCCGTCAAATTTGAAGTTCCAACGCTTTCCTCCCGGGCCTCCCCATGCTGCCACTTTAATATTCTCTTTTATTTGTTTAGGGATCTTCAGGGAAGATATTGGCAATTCTGAATACATATTCCCATATTCTCAACTTAGTTTAGTATATCCCCAATTAAAGTACTCGATCCAGCAATTAATAAAACAAACAATATATACTTCGTATATAGCAGTTCTAGCTAAGTTCGATCATCTAGCTAAGTTCAACTATTGGTCTTTAAATATATATAGAAATGTGCGAAAATATCAAAATAAAGAACATAGTGCAACACAATGCAAGATATTTCCTCAAACTCATTCAGATCACTCATTTTGATTTTTGAAAGGATTTCCTCAAAGTCAGCAATTGTTGTTTTGTTTGAACTAATTGAAAAGTACGGAGTGCCATTTTGGGAATAAGATGTACTAGTAGGTGTTCTCCAATTAGGACCAATTTCGTTGGAAACAAAATACATTCATGACACAACGTATTTTTACATACAATCTCAAAACATTCTCGAAATTAAATCTTAACAATTACTCCCTCTTTTCAAAACAATAATCTTAGTATCTTACTCTTCTTTTAGTTAGGACCGTTCCAAATTCTAATGTGTAGCATATCCATTTTGGTAAAAAAATATGGACCCAAAAGAAGCTACGTACGTACACAATACACTACTCTGTATAAAGTTACTCCCTCCGTCCCACAAAATTCTTCTCACTTTCCTTTTTGGGCCGTCACATTCATTTCACTTTTTTCTTAGGGAGTGTTTGAAATTGCTTCAACTTTAAAAAAGTGATTTTTTAAAGTGATTTGGGGAAAATGATTAATAGTAAAAGTTGGTAGTGTTTGAGGAAAAAGTGATTCTGAAAAAGTAAAAGTTGGTAGTGTTTGGTAAAATAAGTACTTTTTGTGTAATAGAAAAAGTGAAAAGCAGTTTAAAGCACTCTTCCACCTGCTTCCAGCTTTTAGCTTTTAAGTGGTTAATTCAAGCAGAAGCTGTCATTTGAAAACACTCTTTTTAACTTTTTTTAAGCCAAAAGCTGAAAAGTGCTTTTTTTAATCAACTGCAAACACTCCTTTACACAATCACAACCACAAATTTCCACTTTATTCCACTTTCTTAATCTCCGTGTCAAGTCAAATTGGGAAAAATTTTGCGGGACGGAGGGAGTATAAACTATGTACCCATTTTTGAAACAGAGAGCATTTCAAGACTTAACTTTAAAAGTGTATATTACCCATTGCTTACTTTTTTGTATTTATACATTGATTTTTAAATACTTCCTATTATGTAAATTTATTTTGGGAAAATTCCTGAAATAAGAGTAAATAAGTTTGAAAATTCCAAGATAGTACTGTCGTGTTTTTATTTCCAAAATAGGAGTAATTACTGCCTAGTTTGGAAAGTACTGTAATCTTTAAAGTTTGGTACTGTCAAAACGTGAAAGTAATTAATCATATTTAGGAAATAAAAAACATGATAGTCCTATTTTGACATACAAGAACATTTTTAATCCTAGGGTAATAATTACTCATTTATTTTTAATAACAATGATACTGTATACATATACGTACTGTATATGTATACGATAGTATAACTTTGTGTAGGGCAGTAGATGGATAGTGATAGGGAATGTCAAAGTCAAATAATCACAAACTAAAGCTGACCTGGATCTTTTGGAGCCGGAGATGAAGCACTTGTGACGCACAGTTGGAGTTTATCTCTTAGATAGGAAAGATTGGTTAAGAGATCAGCCATGCCGAAAGGGTTGGAAGAAACGTGGACCCAACCGGACTGGATCGTGACTGCGCGCTGCGCCAGGCGCTCGATCGCCGGGGACCAGATCTCGGCCCGCTGCCTCCCTTCCGGGGTCCGTTGACCGTCAATGAGGAACCATTTTAGCCACGTGAGCTCGATAAGAAGTTCATCCTCTAAGGAGGAGGACTGGTGAAGCTCTTCGTTGAACGTGGCGACATCCAGAGCCGCGGACACAGCCGCCATGGCGTTTTCCGTGATGGGTTCCATTTTCATTACAGGATGAATTGAAGCTATTTTTTATTGTTTATTTGCTGCTAATTAAGATGGATGGAGGTGTCGCTTCTATTTTTAAAGACCTTAATTTCTTTGGTAAGCGGAATGGCCAATACTTGCATGGAAGCCAGACGGTCAGTAGCTATTAATTAATCCCAAATCAATTCTTATGACAATAATACGATGTGTATATATACTCCTTCCATATGTCCAAATTGCGTTAGCAAATTTAACTTTTTTCTGTGTCAAATTCAAGAGTATCATTTTATTATTAAATTAAGATATCAACTTTTAAAATAAATTTAAATTTTCTTTAAAAAAAATAATTTAAATTTTGCAACTTTATAAAGATTTTAATATAGATTCTGAATATATATATATATAATTTTAATTAGTAAAATTGAATTATTTATTTGTAGGAAGGATTTCTTACTTATTGGTTGATATATATGATTAAAAGGGTTTACTTTACAAAATAAATTGTGTGGGAGATTAGGAGGTAGTATATGTTTTTCCTTTATTACTTCAATTCATTCATCCCATGTATGTATGGTATTTGAATTCCAGCGATGTTTTCAGGTTCTTAATTGGGTAAAATCTGAGCAAGGATTTGAGAAATTAAAGATCAATAAGAATCATAAACGAGGTTTCAATATTGTAATAGTTTCTCTTATACTGTTCAAGTTTGAATTTTTTTGTCAAATGTTGGTATAAGACGGTTCGTACGGAAATTTCCGAAATTTTTGTTCTTTTCATATTTTAAACGAGGTTTCAAATTTTTATTCTTTTCAATAAGAATCATAAACGAGGTGTTTTTTGTTGAGTACTACTCCGTATGAGGTTTTTTTTATTCTTGTAAGTATGACTAAAACTCAATGAGTTTCTTTATTTTTTGTCAAAAAAACTCAATGAGTTTCCTAAACTATGATCTAGCTAGTTTTTTTCAAAATAATATTATAATTCATAATATTTAATTAAAATTCGTAATTAATAATTAATTATTATTTTTAATGGACAAATATACCATTTTGCTCATACCTATAAAACTCTAACCTCCTACCCATTTTCTACAACCCTAGATACAACCTCCCAACATCCCCTATGAAGCCGCCCCATTATCCCGCCGCCGTCGCCGCACGTCCTCCAGCCGCCCCACGCCGCCACATTCCACATAACATCGACCTGGTAACACAGTCGCCAACCGCCGAAGCAATGTGGCTTGCTGCGCCAGTTCTCCACCAAACTTGGATCCCAAGGCGCTGCCGCTCCTCATCGTCGTCCCAGATCGAAGCGTTGTCGTCCCATACCCGTGCCCACCTTCGAAGATCTGCACGCTGCCGTCGCAGACCTCTGCGCCCCCTTCCCCGACATGTGCACCACCATCCCAGGCCGTACACCATCGCCTCACATCCGCGCTCCAATCTCCACCCCGATGCGTACGTGCAGACGCCGCCACCCATCCACGCACCTCTGTCTCCATCCAACCAATGCCGCCATCCAGCAGCATGAAGGCACTCCAACTCACCTTCGTTGTTGCCCATTCGTCCCCCTCATTCTTCCTTTTTTTAGATTTGGTTTTATATTGAATTTAGGGTTCGTGGACATTAAATATGGGCATTAAACACCATCACTGAACATTTCAATAAGTGTGGAGTATTGACAGTAAATATATATGGTAATAGACAGGTTGTACATGGAAGTGAACGAATGAATTAAGAAATTCTGTTATACAGTGATTATGACCAGTATTGCAGTAACACAAAGTTGTGATATCATCATGAAATGCAATATACTTAATTAGATGTAAAATAATAAAATTATTATCTTTTTTTTTTAAAAAAATCCTCAATTCAATAAGAAGGAAATTAATTTTAGGGGAAGTGCAGTGATTATTACAGGATGTGCAGTAAAGTCATGCATTAATTTTGTGCATTAACGACAATATAAAGTGCAGTAATTTTAATTGGACGAAATTAGTGCAAAATGCACATATTTTAAATAAGGGTATTTTCGTCATTCAATATTTAAATATAAATGAATTTTGTATTTGTATTTCGATGTTTGGTCATACAAAGTTATAAAAACTACTTAGGTCGTACATTGGGAAACTCATTGAGTTTTAGTCATATCCTAGTAATTTTCCCTTGTTTTACAAGACGGTTCGTATGAAAAAATACGAAATTCAAAGTGAACAAAAAATATAACTTCCTATCTTAAGCCCGATCATTGACTAGTCAAAGACCCAAACCCGAAACCCGACCATGTCAGTAGGACGGCGGCAATGATGCATGTGTGTGAGAAATAATTTCACATTTATCTTCTGGGGACAATTTCTGTGACACCGCACCCGAATGTACTTGAATTTGAAAGTGGACATGTATTGAATTTCCTAGCGAATAAAATTCGTGTAATTAATTGGCATATTTAATTAATGTGCGATTAATCAAATTATTTATCGGGTCCACTAAATGTGAATGGGCTACCAAATATTTAGTTGGGCTATCATAAAAATCATAGGGGTCCAATAAAACGCCAACCGAAGTTGATAAAAATATTTGGACAACCCGGGTGCTATTTTGACCCGACCGGCCCGAAATAGCAGGAATAATTGGGAGGGACTTCCTATACCCCATTTGGGTTTTTTCCTACAAGCTTTGTGGACTCAAAATGATGACTTGAGACAAGTAAACATGGGGAGGGGCGGACTTATGAGGAGAGGGGATGGCTCAAGACAAAACCACACCCCCATGTCCTATCATTTGCCTCATTTGTGGCCTTTGAGAAAGAAGGAAACATCCCCCCTATCCTCTACATTATTTGGACGACCAAGCAAGGAGGAAAGCTCTAGGAGAGGTTCTTCACAAAGTCTCTAACTTGAGGAAGGCAATAGGAGAGGAGATTCAACACAAAGGACTTGGTTCTTGAGGTAAGAACACAAGTATTATCTTCTAACTAGTTTTTAGTGTATGATTTTTAAGAAATCATATGGTGGATTAAACATGATGTTCTACACGTTTAAAAGTGTAAAATATTGTTATAAAGTGGTGGTATTTAACTTAGAAGAGTCGTGGAATCGATAGGAGTTGAAACCACCGGAAACCGCCAAGAAGGAGGAGCTGTTCGTGGTAGCAGACCACGAACGTCGCCCGGCTTTCACGAAAGCCGCCCGGCTTTCGCCTTCTGTCCAGACTTTTCACTCTTGATCGGGTTAGAACGGGGATCGATCGAAGGGCTTATCAAAGGCAACTAACCCAGCACTTCATAAGGTGAGGATGGCTGACTATGTTGTTTATAATCTTTGGGTTAATTTCGTAAGATTACCTAAAGTAATTAAATGTTATTCTCATGGATTATTAATGATTAATAATGCCTAAATGAAAATATTGTTGTCAATGAATAAAGGAGCATAATATACAAATTTAAGGATAAATTGTGTATGATTATGTAATATGAACATATTGGCTTGATGAAGGGATTAACTATGAATATTATGTTGAAATATAATTTTAACTTCATATAAGGATATATGAGTGATTAAAGGTTATATTTTGTATATTGATATGAACTATATTTTCAATGGAAAATTAGTTTGAGAATTGTCTATATGACTATGAACAGAAATGAGATTTTGTTGGAATTTATCCGACTAGTATAATGATACTAGTCGGGGTTTTGGAATTGAGATATGTTAGAATTGATCCAAGGTTTGGATTGTAAATTGTTTGAGCCTTAAGTAGTCTTAAGAGATACTAAGGTGGATAAGTGATGCTAGGGGTAGGCCTTAAGGGATACCCAAGATAAAGTGAATAATAAATTGATCCTAGGAATAGGATTGGCCTACGGGTGTATTCGGTAGTCTTTGAGGATTAGCCGATAGAGTATTGGTAATTAGTAAGGACCATGGCCCTTCCCGACTCTAGAGAGCGGGGTTGGATAGCATGGACTTACATCGTGATCACGGGTTAGGGTGGAATCCGAACCGGAGACCTTACGAGGCTCCCGACAGCGGTAACACATAAGATAGGACCCCGAATGGACCTTACCTTCCTACGGGACGATGGGTATGAGTTCAGGGGCGGGATGTTGGACTCCGGCCCGAGGGCCCGATGAGGCCTCGGAGAGCGGTGACAAGTCTCGTAAAGGATGATAAGACCTACGGGCGGTGTCGTGCTAACGACGGGTATAATGAAATATATGAAATGGGCCGTGTGCCGACAAATAAATAAATTTACTTATTATAGAGATAATAAGTGGGAATTATAAATTATTATTTATATTATGATATCACCCTATTTTGAGGGTCTTGGAAATTAAAACGTTGATTATACTTAGTATAGTTGTCATTGTACTTGTCAAATGCTTCCAAGTACTGACCTCCCCTTCACGGGGGAGGCCACCTCACAGTTTCAGGTAGGGAGTAAAGCTTGCTACCGGTGCCCGTTGCTTCGGGGAGACTCCGGAGGGAAGACGTGGTTCGTGCTTCCTCCGCCTCTATTTTTAAAACATTAAATTAATGCTCATGGATATTATTTTGATTAATTATTTGGGGCTTGTACGCCCATGTTGCCGAAGTGTGGCATAAATACTTGTATTAAACGTTTCCGCTGATTTAAATGATTATTTTACATTATGTTTGTTTATGGATGTACTATTGTGAATGATATTCAAGACGCTTAGTATAGTATGGATGAGTTGAACCGCGGTTGACTATTCGTACTGTACGGCGGGTTGTTGACGTGTCCGGTAGGTCCGGGGCGTGACAATTTAGTTGGTATCAGAGCCTTAGTCCGTAAACTTCATAATGAAGCTTCAAAATTCTTTTTGAAAATGATTTTTGCAAACCATGAGCATAAAGTTTTGTACTTATAGAACTTTTGGTACTTGAGTTGCAAGGTCTCTAATTGTTAAGATGGTACCCTTAACAATTGGTATGGCGGTGATTCGAGCCAAAAGATGTCTTTAAGTACCTATCCGTCACTTGACAATTGATACGAGTCTAATGGCTCATTCTAAACTTCTTTCAGAAATGGAGCCAATTGGAAGAATCACTAGGAGGAACCCGACGGGCCGTGTACCGGGTGGATCCGAACGCGGTAGCCGGGGGTCCACTAGGGCGTCAAGGGGAAGGGGCCGTGGAG